TTTTCCATCTTTTTCATCATTAAAACTTCTCTGTTCAAGTCTCTCACCCCTCAAATATCATGCTATGTTTTCAACTGATGAATCAGACAAATGAATTGGTGCCAAAATAATTTATTCTTCTTAGGTAATATATTTCATATTAACTAGAATCTAAATTGCCTTAACCTGCAGGTAGAGTCTGGTTTGGAAATGTAGGGAAGGTGAACCATGGGCAAGTCCGTTCTTCAGACGGTCCCACAAGAGGAATGTATGTATTGGGCAGTGAGTGAGGCGGTGCAGGGAGTGGGTGGGGAGGGGCCCCCTCTAACCGGCTGCCTCACCCATGGGACCCTCCAGTATCCTTTCTCATGAATCATGGACAAACAGAATCATTTAGTGCTTAGCTTACACATGCCCCAAAGGTGAGTAACACCAGAAGAGTTAGTCATTAATATACATTTTGGGTTTTTGTCACCAGAGCGTGAGTAGCCAAAATTTAGAAGTTAAACCTGACCTTTCCTTTCAGCAGGTAGCGGGAACTTGAGAAGAAATCTCCTATCACTTACTCAGTCGGAGGAGTGACACATTAAACCAGGGGTCTGATGTGCTCCTTACGAGCAACTACACTCTCTTGAACATTAACTTACATAGACTAATGTATTCTACTGGTAAAACGTGGAACCTTCTCAGTGTTAAAATAGCTGAGGGGACGCGGGAAGGGGATGGTTCGCCCCGTGGTTCCCAGGGAAAGGGGAGAGCTATGCACGCAGAGTTAGGGCGTCTCCTTGCTGTCTCTCACAGGAGCGTCTCTTTTTATTGTATCCCCATCTTAAAGCTTTTCCATGGGTTGTGATAGTGATGGATAGACTGAAAATAACCAAACACAAATTCTATTCTGCTTCCCATTCTCAAAGTATCAAACCAGGAGAAAGCCCTTAAAAAGTAGTGCCTCCGTTTCAGAACATGCACCAACAGTACTGGAAATATCGGGGGTGGGGGTGGGGACGACACACTGTAAAGTAATCCCCATGATGTACACTGAACCCAGTACAACATAATATTGAAAGTAAGCTGTAATTGAAACATACAACTTAAAAAAAAGAAATTTTGAGATTTATAGATTTTAAAGCACCAATACTTGTCCATTGGTTCACATATGCTTAGTCATTGCCTGCCAAATCCTTTATAAGAACCACCTGTGGGCTCCAAAACACCACTGTGCAGTCTCACCTCCTGAAAGGAAGTTTCTGTTCATATGATTTTATTTTCTGTTAGATTTACAGTCAAAGGATTTAATAGGATTTTCTAGAAATTTTTACTTTGCTGATCAGAAACTCATCTGAAATTCCAAACTTAAGGAGTAACTCCAGCCTCTGCCCCATCTCCTCCCTCCCGTGGCCCTGCTACCAGGCCAGGAGGGGCCTTGGCTCCTGTCTTTCATGTTACATGTTACGGCGCCGATTACAGTCAGGTAGTGACTTGTTGTTCAGCTGCTGCTTCCACGATGTGCTAGTAAAACCCAGTGAGTAACTTAATCCCTGGGGAAATAGACCATTAGGGACTCGGTAGCAGCATAAGCTACGAATGTGGCCAGTAACTGGCACCCACAGGTGACACCAGCTCCAGCACCACTTGAGGGGGTTCGTTTGTCCAGCAGGGTCCGTCTGTGCTGTGTATTTTCCAACACCCAAGTGTACGATCAGAGGGGAGAATGCAGGCAGAGAGGCCAGGACGGTCAGATAATGAGAAGCGGGAAATGGCCTTGAATTCAAGCTGCATTAGTAGCTTGAATTCTTCAGCCAAATTGCTGAACTGAGTCTATTGGCTATAACTTTAGGGATTGTTATTTATGAAAATGAAAACAGACACACAGAGAGAGATAAGAAGATAGTAAATATTTTTGTGCCAGAATTATTTCAGCACCGTAATTTTTGTATTATTAGTGTTTTGTGTACTGCATTATGTTAAGATTGTATATACTTAAATTATAAATCCTCCTTTACAATGTTTATTAAATTCTTTTTTCTTTCTGGAGAGAAAGATGTCTATGTTTTGTGTTTTTAAACTATAAACTACTAAAAAATAATCAAATTCTTAAGAGAAATTTGGAGAAAGAAATCTGCCTTTAGGAAGGATATTTGTATTATTACTGAGATCTATAACTCTTTAGCTACTTGCTTTAGTTTATCTTCCTCTCCCCTGCAAAATTTATAAACTGAAATGCATGTCTCTATAGCTGTTTTATATGAGAGAAAGATCTGTGTTTAGAGAGAACTTTGTTTCAGGGGTGAGGGGAGAAATGAAGTGGGAGAAATGACTGACTGTGAAACTCCTCAGCTGACATGAAACAGGATGACAATAAGCCAGACAGAGGCCAAACGGTACAGGACAAATGGGGCTGGCCAGCTGGGGCAGGTAGGCCGGGCCACCTGCCACCACTAATATGCTCTGTCACAAAGCAACAGTATTTTTTTCCTCTGTGTGTTCCCTTACCTGTTTATCTGCAAGAACAGTTCAGAGCCAGAAAACGTGGATGAGATTTACTCAGAAGCCAAGGTTAGATGAGGTGGAGGTGCCCTTCAGTATTGATAGCCTAGATGTAGACAGATCAAAAGCTAAATCCAATTTAACCCACCCCAGGCAGGAAAAGTAATTGAATTAAACCTCCTCTAAATATGATAAGTTTGGGGGTTTTAAAGCCAGGCACAAAGAGCCAGGTTGGAGTAAATGGACGCAGGGAGCTCGAGCCGCCCCGCCCACAGGGAGTCTGATGAGCTGCTGCTTTGCCTCTATCACTTTACTACTGAGGCTGAAAAGTGATTAAGCTGCTTATGGGGTTAATGGTCTGCCCACCAAGATTTATGTAAGCTGCTTGGTGTGTATGGTTTGAGTATTACAAGGAAAAGAAAAGGAGATGGGGGAGACAGCAGGGTATAGGAAAGCTTTAGAAAGCAGGTTTTATTATGTCAAATAGATGTACTACTTTGACGCTCTCAAAGGAATATGGAATTACTCTGATTCTTTCTCTTCATCTGGTATCAAAACTCATTTATGAAAGCCTTCCTCAAAGAGGACTCACTTTGGAGCCCACCCATTTTATTTTCAGCCATCTCTACAAGACCACGTTGGTGCCTTTAAACATACTTCTCAAGTGATAGTCTGGTGCTCAGATACTACGATCAGGTAAAATCCTAGAAAATAGATAAATGCATAATGGGCATTTTCATCATGCTTCCCCTTGAACACCACTGGGAAATCATTACTAAAAATATATTGCTGCCCTGGCCAGGTGGCTCAGTTGGCTGGAGCATCATCCCGTACAGGGTTGATCCCCAGTGGGGATGTGTTCAGGAGGCAACAGATCGATGTTTCTCACATCAATGTTTCTCTCTCTCCCATCTTCTCTCTCTAAAATCAATAAAAACATATTGGGTGAGGATTAAAAATAATAACAATAAATAAAAATCTATCCCTTTCCACCCCAGCCAGCAGACTGCTCGCTGCAGCTTGATCATGCAGCGATGGACAGGCAGACCTGAAGGAGTGGAGGGAGCTGATAGGTGCAAATAGGCTTAAACTCAATACCCAAATGAAATTAAAACTCTAATGTTCTCTCAGACCTCTCCCACTAAATGCTCTAAAAGTATTTCTTTCATTTAAAACAAATTTCCTACCTTTAAGGGACAAAGAGAACACAAAAGTCTTAAGTTTAAACTACAATTAAGATTTTTTTGCCTTGAAAAATGACTTAAGGATCTGTAGTTTTCCAGTTGACCTCATTTCTTCTGGACGAAACCACCAGAGAGGAAAACAACCAACAAAAGAGCAAAATCACAGCAGTTGGAGATGTTCTGGAGGTTGTCGTAATTACTTTTTAAAATTAACTCTTGAAAGAATTAATAGACATGCCTTCATTTAGTGTCTTCTTAGGGAAGGAGCTGCTGATTTAAAGGATTAAAACTAAGCTTAACATATTCGGAACTTTGGGTTGAACAGACAAATGATATTTTTCTTCCTGGTTGCTCACCTGTCAATCATTAAAAGAACATATACTAACAAAAGTATAAAAAGATTATTTTGACTCCTATATGCTTTATGTTTTATTAAAATTTACAGTCAACCAACTGTGTGGCTTGAGCACAAAGAGTTTAATAGTCATTGCTTTTACATCTTTTCTCCTTGTACAATTTTTTTTACTGAGATATAATTCACATACCATAAGACTTACTCTTTTAAAGTATTCAATTCACTGGTCTCTAGCATATTCACAAAGTTGTGCAACCAACCACCACTATATAATTCCAGAATATTTTCAACATTCCCAAAGGAAATCCCAGATATTAGCAGTCCCCCCTCATTCCCTTTTCTCCCAGGCCCTGGCAACTACTCATCTACTGTCCATCTCCAGGGATTTGCCTGTTTGGGGCATTTCATTTAAATAGATCATAAAATATGTATTCTCTTCTGTTTGGCTTCTTTCAGCACGATGTTTTCAGGTGCATTCATATTGTAGCATGTATCAGTACTGTACTCCTTTTTATGGCCAAACAATATTCCATTGTATGGATATAAAAATTGTGTTTATTCATCAGTTGATGAATGTTTGGGTTGTTTCCACTCTTTGGTTATTATGACTATGCATGTACAAGTAAGTGTTAAAGTGAACATATGTTTTCAATTCTGTTGGTACATATCTAGGAATGGAACTGCTGGGTCATATGGTAGCTGTTTAATTCTTTGAGGGGCTTCCAGACTGTTTTCTACAGTGGCTGCACCACTTTGCATTCCCACCAGCAGTGTATGAGAGCTCCAATTTCTCTACGCCCTTGCCAACATTTGTTACTGTCCTGGAATATCTTTTTATACTAAGTTTATTTTTTCCATTATGAATCGGAATCGATTATCAGGGCTTACAAAGAGAACTACTCCAAACATGGCAGATTTCAGTGCCAAGACCACAATAAACAAAGGCACTCCCCCAGGGAGAAAAGAGAAATGAAATGGCCCCTCTGAGTGCCTACCTGCTGCAGATCGGCGAGGGAATACAGGTGGATCTGTTGAAGGAGGTATTCTCTGGGGAAAATTCTGAAAACAAGGACAGAAACACACATGACCTGTGGTGCTGCCACAAAACACCCTTGTTCTGAGAAGTTTTAAAGTCTCATTCAAGATCTCTTTCGTCTGCCTGCTCCCATGTCCAACTGTACTCCTCCTCACACCCTCCGAGAAGTCGGTAATAATCCCTTTGTTCAGATCTTTTTCTTCCTAACACGGAGAGCAAGATGGAAGTAAACGTTTGATCTTGGATTTCGTCTGTAACCCAAGGTGCTAGCACTACCATGTAAAGGTCCAGGCCTGAGGGCCACAGCACCAGGTTCTTGTACCAGCCAGGTCCCTAACAAGCTGTGTCATCTCAGGCAAGTCGCAAAACCTTCTTCAGCTTCTTCACTATGGAATGAAGTAGACTGAACTCCATTCTCTAAGTATCTTTCCAGCTCCATTATTCTATGTCTAAATTAATAGAGTTGAGGAAATCAGTGGAGTGGCAACTTGTGTGTCTTTTGTTTACAGACTCCTATGGGTTTCATCAGTAGGGATAGTACTGCTCAATATCACATCAATGAACTATCCTCTTACGTGTATAGTAATAGTATTAAAACACAGGCACAAATGGGAACAATAGAACAAAACCGTTCAAACTGGACTCCCTGACAACGTCCAATATCTTTGGCTGCTGTCGGTTCATAGCATCTGGATAAATGACAGTGAGTGAACTTCAAAAACACACAAACATCCCAGTAGAATATGGATAAGGATAGAGGTACCAAGGTATAGGTGATTAGAAACAACCACCACCACCACCACCACACACACACACACACACAAGTAAAACTCATGGTTCTCACATTTTCTCTCTCTTTTAATGGTACTCTGCAATTTTTTTGTGTCCTCAATGAAAGAAACCACCAATTTATTTAATCTTTATAACTGTCCACTATGTGCCAAGCACTGTGCCAGGCACTAGGAAGATAATTATAAATAAGACAGTCATAGTATTTGAGTTCAAGAAGCATAAAGTCAAGTGAGGAAGAGGTACATACACTGGTAATTACAATATGTGTGGTTATTGAAGAGTTATGCGTTGGGTATTTATTTCTGGAATGGTCTAATGCGGTGGGTCCCAAATCTGGCCATCTCTTAGAATCACTTGGGGAGTCTTTAGAAAACCATAGGGCATAAGCCTGGGTAGAACCCAGAAATCAGTGTTAAACAAAACAAAATATCCTCTGATAATTAGGGCAGCCAAAGTTTACAATCTCTGCCCTAATAATCACCCAGCTCACTGGGAAATTCATTATTCAATCTTTCTATTAAGTATGCATTACTTGACAAATCCTAGAGATTAAATCATTTATCCCTTTACCCAGCTTCCCCTAGTATTAACATTTTACTCAACCAAGTACATTGATCAAAACTAAAAAATAAACTATTATGTAAAGTATACTTTATTCAGATTTCACCAATGTCCTTTCTCTGTTCAAAGATACAAACCAGAATACAGCATTGCATTTATAGATTTTAAAAACACAGTAGCCCCCCACCCCCATCCACGGTTTCACTTCCTATGGTTTGTTACCCCAAGTCCAAAAATATTAAATGGGACATTCCAGAAATAATTCGTAAGTTTTAAATTGGGCCCCATTCTAAGTAGTGTGGTGAAATCTCACACTGTCTTGCTCTGTCCCGCCTGGGATGTGAATCGTCCCTCTGTCCAGTGTGTCCATGCTGTATGTACTGACCATCCTTTAGTCATTTAGTAACTGTCTCAGTTGTCAGATTGACTGAGGCAGTGTCGCAGTGCTTGTGTTCAAGTCACCTTATTTTGTTATTATAATTGTTCGACTTTATTACTGGCCATTGTTGTTGATCTCTTACTATGCCCAATTTGTAAATTAGATGATCGTAGGTATGTATGTATAGGGAAAAACATAATATATAGGATTCTGTACACTTTGTGGTTTCAGTTTCAGGCATCCACTTGGGAGTCTTGGAAGGTATTCCCATGAATGGATAAGGGGGGCAGGGACTACTGTGTGTGTGTATTTACTCATTTGTAAGAAGACTGGAGACCCAAACATATGTGCAAAAAAGGAAACACAGGACAGTCTTTCAGTGGGACTACGAGGAAATCAATGTGCCAAAATCTAATACAGGGATGGGGGGTGTTTGAACACAGCTGAATGGAAGGCATAATCTTTGTCAAAGGCGACTGCTTATTAACAAAATCCCTTTAATAAGGTAAAATGAAAACAATGTGGCAGCAGGGCTGATAAATGGAGACAGAGTGAACCAAGTGGGTAGGCTGGAAAAATCGTTTCAAAATTAGCTTCTGCTGCTTCCCTTGGTGTGTACAAACCTGGGTCAGCTACAGGAAGAGTTAGAAGAAGGAAGGCAACTGAAATGAACTGCAGCAGGGACAAGTGCAGGGTAGCATATCTATAATGTTTTGCTACTTAAAGTTTCTTCTGCTCCAAAACCAGAACATTCTATAACTGAGAACACAGGATATAAGAATTATTTATACATTTACAAACCAAATCATACTTATTCCCTTAATAAGGTACTGTAGTCAGTCAATTATCTAGTCAACACACACTTAGTGAGGGCCGAAAATAAGCCAGGTGTTGTGCTAACAACTGCTGATATGTCACTGACCACAGTTGATGGGCAATAAAGACAATGTCCAGTTTTAAAAAAAATTTGTTAAGGTACTAGAGGCCCGGTGCACGACATTTGTGCAAGGGGCTCAGCCCTCACAGCCCCAGCTTTGTCCGGGTCACCCAGAAGGTCGTCTAGAAGGTCGTTTGGCTGTTGGTCTAATTAGCATATTATGCTTTTATTATTATAGAAGATAATTGACATATACCATTACATTATACAGGGTGGAGCAAAAGTAGGTTTATAGTTGTTCACATGGAAAATAATACAATCATTAATAAATAATAAAAGAATGAACTCTGTTTCACATATTCACAACTGTAACCCTACCTTTGCCCCACCCTGTATTAGTTTTAGGTGTATAATAATGATTTTATATTTATACACATTGTGAAATAATCACCACCAGAAGTCTATTTAACATCTGTCACATATGCAACACAGCATTATTAATGAGCGTTTCATGCTGTACATTACATCCCTATGACTTACTAATTTTATAACTGGAAGTTTCTACCTTTTGACCCCTTCACCCATCCCGCCTGCCCCCTCCTCCCCCACACACACACATTTGGCAACCCCCAATCTGTTCTCTGTATCTATGAGTTTGGTTTCTTTGGTTTTTGTTTTTCATTTTGTTTTTAGATTCCACATATAAATGAGATTATATGGTATCTCTCTTTCTCAGCCTGACTTATTTCATTTAGCATAAACCCCTCAAGGTCCATCCATGTTGTTGCAAATGGCAAGTTTTTATTCTTTTTATGGCTGAATAATATCCCATGTATATATACACCACATTTTCTAGTTGTTTCCATAACTGGCTATTGTAAATAATGCTGCAATGAACATGGGGTGCATATATCTTTTAGTTTTCTTCAGATAAATACCCAGAAGTTAAATTGTTGGATTGTATGGTAGTTTTATTTTTAGTTTTTTAAGGAACCTCCAAACTGTTTTCCCTAGTGGCTGCACCAATTTACATTCCCACCAACAGTACACAAGGGTTCCCTTTTTTCCACATCCTCACCAATACTTATTTTTTTCCTTTTTTCTTCTTTTTATTGTATTTATATGAGAAGATGTATGTTAGCTGAACCTATTGTGGTAATAATACATGTAAATCAAACCATCAAGCTGCAGGGGTGGGCAAACTTTTTGACTCGAGGGCCACAATGGGTTCTTAAACTGGACCGGAGGGCCGGAACAAAAGCATGGATGGAGTGTTTGTGTGAACTAATATAAATTCAAAGTAAACATCATTACATAAAAGGGTACAGTCTTTTTTTTTTTTTTTTTAGTTTTATTCATTTCAAACAGGCCGGATCCGGCCCGCGGGCCATAGTTTGCCCACGGCTGTCTTAAACTTATAGTGATGTATGTCAATTACTTTTCTTTTTTAAAAATTGTTGACAGTATTACAGATGTCTCCCATCCTCCCCCCTTTACCCACCTCCACCCAGCCCCTAACCCCCCCCCCCCCCCCCCCCCCCCCCCCCCCCCCTTTTTTTTTTTTTTTTTATTTTTATTTTATTTTTTTATTATTATTAGTTAAGGTATTACAAATGTGTCCTCATCCCCCCCATTAACCCCCAACCTCCCCCCCACACACACTCATGCTCCCATCCCCCTGTTGTCCATGTCCATTGGTATGGCTTATATACATGTATACAAGTCCTTCGGTTGATCTCTTCCCCTTACCCCCGCCCTCCCCTACTTTCCTTCTGGGGATTGATAGCCTGATTGCTGTTTCTCAGTCTTTGAGTCTGTCCCTTTTCATCAGTCTATGTTGTTCTCTATAATCCACAAATGAGTGAGATCATGTGGTATTTATCTTTCTCTGACTGGCTTATTTCACTTAGCATAATGCTCTCCAGTTCCATCCATGCTGTTGCAAAAGGCAAGAGTTCCTTTTTTTTTACCGCAGCATAGTATTCCATTGTGTATATGTACCACAGTTTTCTAATCCACTCATCTGCTGATGGGCACTTAGGCTGTTTCCAAATCTTAGCTATGGTGAATTGTGCTGCTATGAACATAGGGGTGCATATATCCTTTCTGATTGGCGTTTCTGGTTTCTTGGGATATATTCCTAGTAGTGGGATCACTGGGTCAAATGGGAGTTCCATTTTTAGTCTTCTGAGGTAGCTCCATACTGTTCTCCACAGTGGCTGCACCAGTCTGCATTCCCACCAGCAGTGCAGAAGGGTTCCTTTTTCTCCACATCCTCTCCAACACTTGTTGTTTGTTGATTTGTTGATGATAGCCATTCTGACAGGTGTGAGATGATAACGCATCGTCGTTTTGATTTGCATCTCTCGTATAATTAGTGACTTTGAGCAGGTTTTCATATGTCTTTCGGCCTT